TTTTATAAACAATTTTAAAGATCTTATACATATTTTCATTAAAATTTCTTTATAATTTACTTATTGAAAGCAAAAATGCCCAAGATGAAATATTTATCTTATTGATTTCATGTATATGAGTGTCTATGTCAATTCTTTGTGGGACTGAAAATGTTATTGTCTCTTCCTTCTAGGCCAATATAGTGAATTTTAAAGCTTTATTGATAGTAAATTTAGTGATTGAAAGTTTAGTAATTTAAGTCATTCTAACTATTTTTCGTTTTGAATGGATTGTTGTCACTTTTTTCACATTTTGAATGAATTGTTTCTTTTATTTTTATGTATGGTTAATAACCGAATAACCAAACCAAAACCGAAAACAACCAAACCGATAAATGTATATTATATTTGGTTTGGTTTGGTTTTGATAATTTTAAAACCGATTAAGTTGGTTTGGTTTTGGTTTTGACCAATAACTGACCCAAACCAACCCGTGAACACCCCTACTTCTTACCCTTGTGGTGTGGAGGATAGAGGTTGTTTTTGACGAACCCTCGGCTCAAAAGAGAAGTTACTCAAAGCATCATTGCAAGAAAATAAGACAACAAAATATCAGGATACCAAGAAAAGGAAGCAACCGAGAGTAAAACACATTGAAGAATAAGAAACTACGTGATTACAGAATTCTACTACTAATAAGCTGAGAAGAGATGGAGCTAGCCCCTTTATCTCCCATGTAAAGTGGGACAATGCTCGATTACCTACTACACCTTCTTCCCTAATCCCCACCCTTTTATTATATCATCTTTAATTTGTTGAGAAAGAGAAATGAAATGAGGATGACCCCCACCCCTAGGTGAGTTACCTAATTCTCAATAAGAATCTTAAGTATTTAGTAGACAGAAAATAGATACTCAGAAAGTCAGATCCTAGACAAAACTAATTTTAATTCACACAAAGGATGATAAAACATAGCACAATGTGGAACATACCTTGTTTAAAAAGTCAAATCCTCATTTCACTATTATTGTTATTCAGCAAAGAAGGTTAAGAGTACACAATTCCATCGGGCAACAACAACCATCACCTTACTCCTATCTTTGTGAGGTAGAAGAGGTTGTTTCCGATAGACCCTCGGTTCAAAAGGGAAGTATCTGAAGCAGGAAAATATATATAATTCATTAACATAAAAAAGAGTGAAAATTTAATGTGTCGAGCCAGGATCATTACGGTAGAAGGAAATTTCTATATGGCTGTTCTTCGTTAGCTTGAGGCACCAGCAGTATGTAATACAGTAAAACATATAGTAAAGAAATTGAAATAACAGATATTTAGAACAAGTAAATAAATACAGAGAGCCTATGATTTTATTTACTCAGCATCCATGATCATATAAAACGCTTCCTTAATACAGTGATATGTATCAAGAAAGTTTTAAGTTAAGAGATATGGCAGAATGTATCTAAAGGAGATGAAATCTGTATGTCTTGTGATTTGTGACAGTATGGATCGTATGAAGCATGAGGAGTCTAATGTTCGATCATGAGTTTTGTTTGTATGGGCGAATTTCCTATTTGTGGAATCCAATCTTAGTGAGGTCTCTATTGAGGAATTGTGGGTGTTATATGACCGTTGTCATGGCTGGTTATGCAACCAAAATACAACGGAGGTGGTTGAGGAGTCCGTGGGGATTCTATCCCCACAATCCAGTCCTGGGGTTCAGTTGGATGTTATCATGGGCTAGACACTTAGAAGAGGTGGCCCACGTGCTGTTTCGTAGGAAGCCCAGAATGATTGTGTGGATCATGGAGTTTGGTCATTTGTTACGTACGTAATGGATTGTTCATTTTGTGAGACGGTTGTCAGGGGATAGACCATATGAGGAGTCAGAGACGGGCTCTTAACCTTGTAGCAGAAGGGTCTACAAGGGGCTTTTAGTATGACACATGTCAGGCACATGCAATTTTTGTCCACTACAACAATCTCAAGGAAAATCTGATTGATACACTGGATTTTAAAGAAAGGTTGATTCAATCGCTTTCAGTATGCAGAACAACAACAACATACCGAGGGTACTCCCACAAAGTGGATCTGGGGAGGGTAGAATGTACAGACCTTACCCCTACCTCAAAGGTAGAGAGGTTTTCCGATAGACCCTCAGCTCAGTATGCAGAATTAGAGTGTATGCAGACCTTACCCCTATCTCAAAGGTAGAGAAGGCTGTTTCCGATAGACCCACAACTCAGTATGCAGAATCATGCCCTGAAAAGGTACCCCTCAAGAACAATCAAGATGCATGTTTTACTTATTATACATTCTGGCTCTTTAGTGTGCACAGCCCTGTTTGAGTTTTGCTCATTGTTTTCAGCATGCACAAAAAGTGTGACTGTGGAGAACTACATACCGAAACTGTCCACTTAGAAGAACCAGTGTAATGCTTATTTGCTTTAATCTGCATGGTGAGGAAAAATCAGTTTTAGGTTAATGCAATTGGAACAAAAAAGAAATCACACAACCATATGCTTTGAAATTATATCCTCAGGTATACTTTTGTAATCTCCATCAAAGAGCCATCTGGCAAACTGACAAATGTATTTAGACTCTAATACCCGTGATTCATCAAACTACCCACATTGCAGACTTGTTTTCAAAAATGTTTAAAGGCCTGCAAAGAAAGGCAAAAGCGTTAAAACATTTGAAGATATGCCACAAGGAATTGTGAATCTCAATTACTGGCACTCAGGTTCCAACTAGAATTACGGCACCTGCAGCATCCAGGGACTTAGCAATAGCCCACCAATATCCAGTATCATCAGCTACACCAGCTATAAAAGCCCTTTTACTCGCAAATAGCGCTTACAGTTTTCTCAAAAGACAGGGCTACAGGGAAAGAGATTCCAAATTTGGCCACATTAAAAAAATAGTTACAAGAAATCAATACATCATTCCCAGTGTAGTCTCACAAAGTGGGGTCTGGGAAGGTAAGAGTGTATGCAGACCTTACCCCTATCTTAGAGGGAGAGAGGCTGTTTCCAATAGACCATCGGCTCAAAAGAAAAAACAATCCAAAACAGTTCTGAAGAAGAAATAATGGAAGTACAAGAAACAAATAGTAACAAAACAGTACTACAACAGAACATACGACAGTCGAAGTACAAGAAACAACAAATAGCAACAGAAATCGAAGGATAAAAAACTACAAGTGTAATAACTATTAGTATGGACAACAATTAGACAAAACACTCCCACCTACGACGTTCTACCCTAATCCGTGTCCTCCACAACTTTCTACCTAAGGTCATCTCGGTACACATACATATTTTGACTGGCAGGAAAAAGGAAGAAAATAGGCAAAAGTATCACTTCAAATAATTTAAAAGCAATAGGCAATCACTGCCTGAACTCATCATTTATAGAATATTTGAAGTCATCAAAGTATCTTAAAAGAAGAATTTTTAGAGGACAGCTTGGAAATAATCCCGGAATCATAGTTTCCATCTTTCCAAAACTGGCAACAAAAAGGTCCTGGACATATTGGTGACATTGAAAGACCAGGGGACTAGTGTTTGTATTATCAACTCCATGCCTCTTAATACACCTAAACGTGCTAAATATTTAGCAGGGTACAAAGAAACAAGAAGGAAGTTACAATTTGTACATCTAGAATCCATTAAGAGGGACAAGATGAACTAAAGACTATTATGTCAACTAGTAAGGAGCATTATATAGGGCATAAAGCAGGGTTAAAAATACTAACCAGTTCAGCTAACCAATTGCTGGGGCCAGGAATCCTAACAAAGGAATTCATAGAAATTAAAAAAATACTATACCCAGAAAGATCTTTTATGTTAAGAGATTCAACAGTTATATATACAAAAGAACATATATATTTTTGCACTACTAGCACACTGTAATTTTCGGACGAAGGGTATTCAATTGAACCCGCTTCCTTCCTTGCTGTTAGCTCCACCACTGCAGCCAGCCTTTCAATTCAACAAGCATTAAAACTTACTTTATTTACTTTCACAAGAAATTAATATAGCATAAAAAATAAATTAGACATGTCAACAAATAGCAGACCATAAAAATATTGTTTTTAGCTCAGTTTGTCATATCTTCAAGACGGAGAATGTATTTGTTGTTTTATGATTTTTAAATAAACTCATTTCTCATATGAAAGGGTAAGGAAAAAACCAACTGACAACTTCATTACTCAAACATACAGACTGCCTTCATAACTTATTAAGCATGAGCATGCTTCATAACCACAATCGAAGGCCGTTAAATTCCTTCACCTATTCTTTGAACTTCCAGCCTTAGCATTGATTATGGAACTAATGTCGGGAGCCATTGGACATTCCACACTTGACTCCCAAGTCAAACTTGGCCGCAAATGCTAAAGTTGACTGAAGAGCCTTTTGAATCGAGCTTGGTGTATTTGCAAGGAACGGTGCCTTTGGGGAGCTGGCAATTTCTGCATTGCACTTTTGTGCGGACTGGATTAAGGACTGCCCAGCTGGAAATAAAGAACTCAACTGTCTAAATGGCATTTCGCTGGAAGTTGTATTTGGTGCACTTTGTCTCCTCTGAATGGGTGATGAAGCACTGTAACACTCATTAGGATGCGGTCTATCTTCTACTGCTTTGTCAACTGACAGGAAGTTTACACCCCGAGGTACAGAACCAGGAGGGGTTCTAGTCGACATTTGATTGATGCTCCCTAACTTGGCTTTCATGTCAACCAGTTGCAATTTATCAACTCCATAATCCATATTAAGCACGCCTGACAATGTGTCACCACTAGGCTCAGCTGAAGGTGCTCGGCCAAAGGACAAGAAGTTCATTCCTTGTGGTGTCCTCGTAGATGCGCCTTTCATAAATCCATTCGGTTTCTGAATATTGTCAACACCATTTGCTTTGGAGGGTAAACCAACTTCTTCATGCTTTCTGGCATCACCTTGCAAAGACTTCCCATGAGATAAGAACGTGATACCTTTGGGTGTTGATGCAGCTGGCTTTCGCACATGCTCTAATACAGTTCGCTCAGTGCTATTACGGGGAACAAGCCCAGCTGAACTAGATGTGGAGTTAACGTCTTTATGCAACATTCCATTTGTGTTTACTTGGACCAAAGAGTTTGAAGCAATAGGACTTGTAACTGCCTCTGTCTTAACAGTTATCTGAGATATGCCAGTGACATAAGAAGTTAAATATCTTGATATAAAAGAGGAAAACACACCTCCAAAGATGTAAGAAGATAAAAATTGTGCACAACTGAAAAGTTAAAAAGTTGAATTGCAGGGAGGACGATACCTCATGTGAAAATAAACAACTAGAACCTCTGTTGCAAAACCCTTGGGAAGCATATTTATCGCACGGATACTTGGAGAGTTGATGATCAAACGGGCAGTCATCACCTTTCATGCAAGACTGACGTGCAAAATGACAACATGGCTGAAGAGGAAAGATCTTTACAAACGTTAGAAGCCAGAACAAAGGTAGAAACATGGATGTTATGCTACATGATAGAAACAAATACTTGTAAAAGCAACAGCGGATACTTTTGAAAGTAAAGGAGATATTAAAATTTTGTTCATTTTCTGAACAATTTGACAGTGCTGCAAATCAAAAATCATGAAATGGAACTTAAAACAGCAAGCAAAATTTTTCTTGGACATTTTAAAAAGAGACAGTAGCCTCAAAACTGCTGCAAACATTTTATGCCTTGGTGAGTTGCTTTCTCAATAAGAATCTAAGCATATACTCCCTCTATCCCATATTAGTTGATCTTTTTCCTTTTTACACGCATATTAAGAAATCATAAATAAGAAGATAAATTTACTAATTCACCCCTTACAAAACTTCTTGGAAATTTTACAAATAAATGTGAACGCTTTCAAAAAGAATTAATTACAAGGGTAATATAGGAAAAAATTAATTAATGCTTTACTGATTTAGTAAGGTGATCAACTAATATGAGACAACTATTTTTAGTAAGATGATCAACTAATATGGGACGGAGGGAGTAGTAGACACAAAATAGATACTTAGACGCTCAGATCTAGCTCTACAATCTGAAATTGACATGTATCCATACTAGACAAACTAATTTTAATCAACACAAACGATACAACATATATAATTTAAAGCATAGCCTAAAATGTGGAATATGTGCACATAGTAAGGTCCCCCACCCCCGATTTAAGTTGTTAGTTCCAGACTGAAGGGAGCAGCTATAACTTTTATAGGGTAGACCTACATGATCATTTCAAGTTCTATGTCTCGTGACAAAATTATCAAAAACAAATAAGATTTCAGAATATGGCGATGATTGGAATGCTGGTAAACATTCCAAACTCACGGGTTGCTATTTCAAATAGACTATACCCACTCTCAATTCGAAAGTAAGGTAAGCAGTAGCATCACAGCACGACTTCAAATCTCCTAGCATTGCCAACAGCTTGCAACAATATGGTATAACAAATAAATAAAATAAAAGCAGCAAAAATAGACCTTTGACTTTGTCAAGGGGATGGTATCATGAGAAAATTTACACGCCTCACCCTGTCAGAAGACAAATGAAGAAAGTCAGATCCCCAAAACATTGAAAGATTTGCTAAATCATCTTACCCTATATTATACGATTCTGAATTACCTCTAGGCATCTTCCCTTGAGATAATGGCGGCAATATTTCACGACTTTTGGTTTCACCACTGGTGGAAGCCTCAGCCTTTTAACTCCAAGCTTTATTCTCTCTTCAGCTCGTTTACTTCTCCGCTTGGCCTACAAAATATACAAGTTCCTTTGTAAATAGAGACATACGAAAGAATGAACAACTTGATCCTATAAATCTGAGAATAAGCATATCATTCTACCAGATTTAACATCCGCATTCAGTAAAGGGATGATAAACTCATTTACAAATGAATGAAAACAAAGAGAGAACGAGATGGTGCACCTTTTTCCTTGCTTTGCTTTCCTTGGTTAAAGGACCTCGCTTCTTTTCATTTTTACCAATATTCTCATTCTGTCACAAGATGAACAGAATCAAATATAACAATATTCGCAGCTGATGAAAACATAGAAAGTGAGACTGATGTCTAATAAATTGTAACAAATTGCAAACTATACTTTATCCATCTACATTATCGTACTGACTTGCAGACACAAACATGACTTTGAATGATCAATACATTAAAAATAAACGTTTATAAATTTTGCATTTCTGGTGTAACAGTATTATGGAAAATTTGTATCAATACATGGATTTCTAGAGGAGTTAAGTGACTCGTAGAAGTCAGTTTTTTATCTGCAGGTGGAGCACTGTAACAGACTAACAGTACCATCTTGGTACCTTCATCAATGAAACTTTACCTTATCAAATAAATGTTTCATTAGAAGACTGTGATATTATGAAAAATTTCAGTAACAGAAATTCAATTTCTACTTTGTCCATTTCCTTCCATCCACCGGTCAAGCAAGAAAATCAAATAATGCACTATATTCGAAGTATGCAGATGTGGTATCAGTAACTTTAGATAATGCACCATATACAAAGTACGCAGATGCAGCATCAGTAACTTCAGAAACCTACTAAAGTCCTTGCTACCATTTCCTCATTTTCTGGAGGGGGGAGGAGGAGAATGCATTATAGTCAAGTCTGGATGATTTTGATAATAGTCAATAAGCATGGTCTGGACACTTTATGCATTTATGACATCGATCAAATGTCAGCTTTCTTTTTTTGATTTTAGGAATGTCTATAATTGGGAATAGTCACACAAAAAGTGCAGACGGGCATATATGAAGTTTCACTCTTTGAAACAGCAATTATGTTCAATAGCAGATTGGAAATAGTTTTATAGATGCATGAGAATGTACCAAGTCCAAGACAAGCAAGATAGCTGGACAGATTCTTTACTAGCCACAAACTAACAACTTTTCAGCTGATTATACGAGAGAAGACAGGCATTTATGGTGAAGTAAAGAAGAACCATCGCTGGAAGAAGTCAGAATACTTCTAAGGAGGGAATCACCTATTGAATCCTAACACTGGGAAAACTGAAAACAAAAATGAATTAACCAGTACAGACTTGAAAGTAGCACATAGTTGAAATAGATAGAACATAAATTAAGTGCTAACAAATCGAAGAAGTGATCATACCTCAGTAGCAACTTTTAAGTGTTTTCTTTTTTTTGCATTTACACCGGAGGTTGAGTCAAATTGAGAACCAGCAGGATGATCTAACTTCACGTCTCCACCAACTTGCTTAGCATTATTTTCACTATCCAAAATGGTGTCATACACACAAACCTTTCTGGTCTCGACATCCTTTGAGCGGAAAACCTTTTCAGTATTATCTTGCGGCTCTTCTCTGAACTTTCTTATGAACTCTCCCCCAACAAAGGTGTTATCCTCATCAACTGCATCATTGGTTGAAGAGGCAGAAGCATCCTTCCTCTGTGGTGCATTAACGTGAACATCAAAAGCAAACTCTTCTCTACCGGAAATGTCAGCAGGAGACTCATCTGCTCCATCCTTCTTCTCATTCCCAATATGATTAAGAATGTCATAATCTGATTCATCAAAAACCATAAAATCTCTGAATGCTTCCCCTTCCTCCATCTCTTCACCCATAGGAACATGGACAGACGACTCTGCTGCTCCAGCAGAAGATATCAATGTTTCCAACTCCACCTCTTTTACACGCAATCCATGCTTCATTTCTTCCGAAAAATGTGTCTCAGAATCATCCATTTTCTCTCCAGAGAGCTCTGCAGGTTGCGACAAATCAGCAATTGCATCCGCACCAAAACATGATTCTATTCCTGCACTGACATCATCAATACTGGAGTCTTTGTCTAATCCTACCGGTCTGATAGGATCAGGCTCCTTCACCTCAGATTCATGAGTGCTACACCTATTCCCAGGTTCCTTGACCATTTGATAGTTATAACCAAGAGTTTTGTGTACCAAACAATTCATATCAATGATATCGTTTGTTATAAAATCACCTCTATCGCCTTCTACTGCATTACTTGTATGATTTGACAGATCTAAATCTACTTGCATTCGTGCACGAGTAAAATCTCCATATCCATAACGAGAGTTCCCATCACTTCTATCACCAGAACCCGATTGCACTGCCAGATTGTTAGACTCGTTATGAGCAGGACCAGTACCTAACAAATTCTCAGACCTGATGAGACGATGATCAACTGATTCACCAACTTCATTTTCTGTTCCCAGTTTACTGCTCTCATTGTCATCTGTAAATTAAAATGGCTTCGTCAACACCAACATGCTAATATAACTATAATCTTATTTAGTTTCTTCTTAGACTGAAGTCGAGCTGTAATTCTAAACTAGAGTGGGAACCATCATTGTGTTTATATATTGTACACGTGTAATCATACGATTATCGGAAGCATATGTAACATCACAATAACACACATTGAGATACATTTGTTGCATGTAATATACCAAAAGGGGGAAAAAGATACTCACACACAGAATCTAAGACAAACAACAATTAAAACTGAAACAAATTAATAGATGTAACAGGTCATTCCATTCTATCAACAACATACCCAATGTGATCCCACAAGTGGGGTCTGGGGAGGGTACAATGTACGCAGACCTTACCTCTACCTTTGTGAGGTAGAGAGGTTGTTTCCGAGTAGACCTTCGGCTCAACATAAAAGTATCCAATGCAGGAATGTAAGGCACCAAAATCTATGTTGCTCAGACTCTTCAAAAATTTCAACAGGTGTGTGTCGGCTTCGCCAAAAGTAGTGCATTTTTGGAGAGTCCGACACTGGTGCGGCAACAAAAGTGAAGAGTCCGCGCAACTAAGACCAAAATAGCAAAATATAAAACAACTATAGCAGCAGATAGCAATACATATCGAAAAATAGGAACTACGCAATAAATGAATACCACTGCTAAAAGGAAAAGAGTAGACTCTCCCTCACAAAGTGGGACAACTCTCGGCTACCTAATAACTCTCTAGTCTAATCCTTGACCTCTATATCTTCCTAATTAAGGTCACGTCCTCAATCATGCTGAAGTTGTGTCATGTTCTATCTAACCACCTCCACCTCTTCAAACTCCTGCTACAACTAATATCTCACACCTCCTCTTCACGTGTCTAAACCATCTCAGTCTCAACTTCACTTCCCTCCTATTGTCTTCCGCTGATGTCACTCCTACCTTGTCATGCATAATTTCATTCCTAATCATACCTCTCCTCCGAGTATGTCCACACATCCATCTAAACATCCTCTCCACTACCACTCTGCTTCATACATCAATATTGGTCATTCCATTCTATCGTCATCTCAAATTGGATAAATAAGCATATAAATTCATACTTTAAGTTCCATTTTCTGCTAATTCACGCAAATAAGATAAAATTTAAGCAAATTACCTAGTTTTTGTTTATCAGTGGTGGAGTCTGTGCTCGGGCAATCGGATATAATCTGAAGTAGTGTACTGTAGGTTTGGCTCATGAGTAGCCGGCGGCGAGGAGGTAAAGGGTAGAGATTTTGCAAGGGTTTTAGGGCGCCGATTTGCGAATTCTCCATTGTTGATCAAAAACACACAGGCGCGCTGAAGTTGCGCCGTTCGAATACACTTCAGCACTTTTGGGCGAATTTATATACTCTGAGGTAAGTTTCAGTAAAACTATATATTTTAAATATTTAAAGAGTATAATATTATCATGCTATCGAAAAAATTAAATGATATATTTAATTAAATATTGAGTTATTTACCTTAAATTAGTAGGATTAAGTCTTATTGAATTTGTTATTTTTGATGTTGTTCTATTGTTGATGAAAGGAAAGTGTTTGAGCAAAAGGAATATCAGTATATACAAACACATAATTGTTTCAATGTGATGTAATTAGGCATTCTAAATTTGTTTATATAAAAAAAATTATATTGAAACTTACAAGTTATATCTTTTTATCATAATCATGATATAATATTTAGTATTTTTTTTTATACACTCCTAAATCAACAACGTATTCAAAGATTTATATTTTAAAGATTAAAGTATCACAAAAATGTGTGTGAGATTAGTTTTATTCCTCCATCTTTAAACAGAGATTTTAAAATTTGATTCTACACGCTTTGATAAAAAGGTTTATATGACGAACCTATTTGATGCGAATCTAAATTTGTTTGACACTCACGTAGAATTGTAATCCCAAAACACCCGAAGAATAGCCACCTTTTAAACTACTAGTCAGGCTTTACGCAACGTTTGGAAACTATTTAAACTTTAGCCACTTTATAAAGATACCATAACATCAAACTTTGCTCAACAAGCAAAATCTGGTTGACTATTTCTTGTAAGCCCAACTTGTTATGCAAACGGCTTGGACTTCCCAACTAGATGGGCTTTGGTTAGTTGGTTCCTTTGTCGAGTTCAAGATCTCAACACCCCCCCCTCACGTGTAGATTTGATATTTTTTATGGTCAAGCTCGTAGAAATTCCTTTTGCATTGGTAGCACTGAGATTCGATTCGAAGATCTCTGTCTGCTCTGATATTATGTTAACGTGTGTGATTATCTCATCTAAAAATTTAAGTTGTTAGAGAAAACATATTTTTTTTAGTAATAATTGTATTCTCAACATTTTTCGACATATTATTCAAATTATATATTTTTTTAATATTCAATTTGCTGATTTTCTTTAGACCGTAGAAATTGTGGGTGAAGAATTTTGTATTGTCATAAAATTGTTGAGCTACTTGCATGGGTATTTATGTTCCTACTTTGTACAACTAAATTATAGACCTTATATGTAACGTAACCAAAAAATTCAAGTCCAAAATCAACTAGAAGGGTTTACAATGGTTGTGGATTAACTACAAACGATTTAATCATTTGTGTCTAAAGTTAGGTTTGGTAATTTAGCTTGTACGCTTTGGAAAGCTTAAAAGCAACATGTCAACGGTATATTTTACTAAATTAATTTTATTAATTGTGTTTTGAAAATATTATGATTACAAATAGTATTTAAAAAGATGACAAACTTTTCTTGATTTGCTAAAATAAATAAGTAAAAAGCAAAAAATTAAATAAATTCAATATATAGTCAAGTAAAATAAAATGGGGTGAGTAACTGAAATCTTCTGACTAGCTCAACTCTGAACGTACGTGTGTATGTAACGTTCTCATAATCTTATAATCACGAATTTGAAGTTGATAATTTCCAAAATCAATTATATACACATGCACTTTCATCTACACACAAATCTCGATAATTTATGTTAAACTACATAAGGCTCATTAAAAAAAAAATGCTCATCTACGAGAAACTTCTATTTATAGAATTTTGGAAATATAAGATGTACGTATAGTGGAGTATAGTTAAAGATTTGATAATTTTCAATGCACTATGCCTTTGTTCTACGTATGTAAAAAAGATAGAATTAGAAGGTTATGCCGACATGATTTATAAGATGTCAATTGTCAAGCATGCCAAAAATAACACCCATTTTTTGGCCCCAACTGTCACCACAACACATGATGTAGAGTGCACTCTTCTCTTCAAGCTTATCCGCCGCCTCTACTGTTGGATTTTTTTGGATTTATCTGATGTTTGTGGACCGTGATAGTAATCTGTATAAAAGATCGATTAATTTAAATTTATGTATTACAAAATTTATTTCTAGGAGCGACACTTTCAACATAAGAATAGAAGAATCTCAACTATCGTAGTACAATCATGTTGAGATTATATAATATAGATTATAAGTATTTGATTTTAATTGTAAATATATAGGGATATCTACAATTATGCTATGGTATAATCTTGAATTGTAGTATAAGTTATGTTTTTTAATTTATAATTTTATCTATATTATTTTACTTTTTTGAATAATTTACAAGCGTTTTACCTCCCGATGCGAATACGTCGTATGTGGGGGCAAACACTAATCTCGAGAAGATATAGGTCGACGTGACCCAAATTAAAACGGCCAGCCTTTCGACAATGACAAAAAGGGTGCCCCAATTTGCCTCCTAATGACACTCAAATGATACAACTTGGACGTTTGCACACAACCCCACCAATCAACAAATCTAACTAATAAATGCCCTACTTTTAGCACTTAATTAAAATCGTGACCTAACACTCAATAAATTCGGTAGAATAAAGTAAGTTGTAAATTTTTTTTATACAATTTTATTATCATACATATTATCTATTATATGACATTTTTTTTATAAGTTTGATTTAAAAGGAATAGCATAATATTGTATTTTAAAAAATATTTGAATTTTAACTTGCTTTGAGTCGATGTTTTTATGATCACAAAAACGTTATGATGTGTTCATAACAACTTAAAATCTTTTTTTTTTTAGTTATAACAAATCAAACTATGTCACATAGAATGAAATTTCAAAATAAAGATTGAGTCAAGATTTTAATTTTATGAATTATGGGTTAAAGATAATAATTTTGAATTCTAATAATTAATTGAGAGTTTATAATTTAATTTGTGTACATATTTAAATTTAATATTTATATTAACGAAAGATAAAAAGGCATTTGATGAAATAGCGAAAACAATTAGGTATTAAATTTTCTTATGTCGACAAATACGACAATAGAACGGGTCACATTCAATTCAACTTGATATAGTTGATTGTTCATTGAACTTCTGCCACACAAGCATCTACTATTTAATTTGTTATGGTCCAAATACTTCCAATACATAGAACTCTCATGGCTCCCCAAAGGTCAATTATCCACTTTTAGCATGTGATTTTGGGAACTTGCAACTTTCTCTTTCCTCAAATTTGTCACTTGTTTATTTAATTTTGGCCAACTTGCATCACCTCTAAATCTCAACATTTATAAATAGCAAGCATTTCCTTCCAAATGTAACAAATGCAACAAAAAGTTAGTGTATAAATCAAGAACAAGATCATTAATTCTTGTTCTAAGGTTTTTTCGGGCTAGACGGAGATTGACCCTCGAGTACAATAAGGCAAAAGGCAGAAGGGAGTTTGACTGCAAGACCCTCACGAGTGTAACAAGGCAGAAGGGAGCTTGACTGCAAGATCCAATATATAAGATGAAGAGGCAAAGAGGTAATAAGAAGATAGGAAATAATTATGGGGAGATGAAAAAGGTCAAAAGGGTTGTTGAGAAACAAAGTGAAGAGGTGAAAATAGAGGAAGAACATAGGGAAAATAATGGTGGAGGAGATGTTGTGAAGGAGGTGGAGTTGATGGGTGAGTGTGATAATTGGATTAATGAATGGCTTTGTTCATGGAGTAATGATAATGTTGTTGTAGATGAGCAAATGTCATGGGGAACATGTTGGTCACCTGTTTGGGACATGGAGTTCTTGGGAGAAGCTTATATTAACTTGTACAATGATGTTTTGTGGGATGATGATGTTTGGGATTTAAAAGCCATCAAGGAAGTTCCAAGTTAATAGAAAAAGGAGACATGTTTGTATTTTGATCTTTGTAAGTGTAGTTTTTCTTTTTTAACGAATCGGAGTTATAAAAAGTTGAATCTTAGTGGATCATGACAATTGCTTAAGACTTTTCAAGAATGTTGTTGTGTGCGTGAGATCTTTCAAAATCTAGCAATGTAAAATTTTAGAGGATCTAACACAAATACAATGACATTCTTGAAAAGTTCAAGCAACACCTACGACATTAAGATCGATACCACTCTGTCACTTACAATATCCTATCTAAGTTTAGTTGCAATAGGTACTTGAAAATGCACATGTACAAGGTTTTATGATTACTCTTAACTATGAATAATTAGCAGTCTGAGAATCTTTTTTTGTTGTTACGATGTGATTTCAATTCATAAAACTGGTGACAAAGGATTTAAATGTGTTTATGGAATTTCTTGGCTCATTGGAATGTCAAGAAGTTATGAACAAACTGAGGGAATTGCAGCATGATAGCAATAACAAAACAAATTATAAAGGGACAGTCTAGTGCACTAAATATTCTGCATTCACACAGGCTCTTAGAAAAGGATCACATCTTTAATGAGTGTAATATAGACGGTCTACCCTGATACAAGCATTAGTGACTGATTTTACGGCCCGTAATGAGTAGATATTGGAATATATGGACCATCAACAAGAGAAGTACTCCTTCGTCCTTAACAGAGGTCTCCAATTCAAATCCCTTTGAGTATGAAGTTAGGAAATATCGAATTTAATCGAACTCTAATATGAATACCGAAAAATCAAATGGAAATAAAAAATTAAATCACATATTGGAATGGATTTGCTTCACGATAAAGCAACAACAGTAGGATTTTGACAAATGTGACTAGTTTGAGTTATCGTTTTAGATTTTGTTTCTATTGTTGACAACCTTAAATATATTAATTTAATATTTTATCATATATTTATCAATCTTACAAGTGAAACATTAGACAACTGTCTAACATGTTCAACAATTTATATAATATATAATAACTTTAGAAGTAAATCTAAAGTTTTTTCATGAGATTTTCAGTTAACTTTCAAAAATACAAAACCCGCATCATCCAGATTCCTGATATGGGCCAATTCAAATTGAAACAGGCCCGATTGATTTGGACTCTGTAAAACGGGTCTTCTTTCTTGTTTGGGTCATCATTTGCTTTTTAGTGCGTAGTAGGATTTATCGAAAATAATATCTCTATTTCACAAAATAAGGATAAAATTAATGTACACACTAATTTTTTTAAAATTCGATTCATGAGATTACACTAAATATATTATTGTTATTGGTGGGATCGAGTAGTACAAGGTTGATTACAGAATCAAAAATTTCAAAACTGTACCATGCCCATAGTAAGTTAAACAACAAGAGGTCACTCTTGGTAGTCGATTAGAATTATTCAAATATTTATAATGTAGAAATTAGTTATGGGAGAATCTATATATTAATTTATATGATTATTAATTATGTAGTGATTAGTTATTTTACCTTCTAGCATGCATAACTTATAGGAGTCGTTTGGTGTGACATATAAGGTATAATAATTTCAAAAATAAAATGTTGGACTATTTTATTCTGTGTTTGGTTGGAGCCTAGAGGTATTAGATAGTCATGACATTACTTATTCCGCCATTTATACCTTAGTTATCGGATAAGTTATTTCATATACATGATGAAATAACTTATTCCAGGATAACTTATTAAGAGATAACTTGTTTCCAACCAAACGATTTCATAATGTATTAGTTGTGAGCATTTATAAATTACAAATCAAATACTATTTTAATTTTATCTCTTTACTAGCAACCGAAGACAATATTACTCATACATAACTTAATACCAGCATAACTCACCTCAAACGAGCTAACCTAATATACAGGTGCCCCACCACAGAAGATGAGGACGCTCACATTTTATCATTCCCCATGAATAAATTTAATCACCGGCGAGTGAGACACAAGTCAAAATCACAGCAGATTGCAGAGACCAAAATCTCATCGCGTATACTAAACGCTCCTTGAAATCGCGTGAGTACTTTCCTCTTCTTTTTCACGCCTTTTAATTTCTATTTCCCACCTTTAAACACTACTCAAAAAAGTACTCAAACACAAAACACACACTGTCACTCACTAACAACACAGTTCACACACACTCTTAACTGAAGTGAAAAGCCCTAAACCGAAGCTTTGAGAAATGGCGGAAGGCAGAGGATCTTCCCTTGTTCATCTACTAGTAATTGTACTGAGCTTAATCGCTTTCGGATTCGCCATTGCCGCCGAACGCCGCCGGAGCACTGTAATCACTACTCCTCTTTTTTGTACTCTTATCTACTGCTTTTGCCTTTTTTTGTGTGTATATGTAGCTGATGAGTGTTAATTGAGCTTAAACTTTGGTAGATCCAGCGCGAATTTGTATATATTGTGTAATTCTGTAATCGTGTTGTGCTATTGAGTGATTGCTTTTTTAAGATCTGAAATTGCTGCGTTTGTTAACTCTGATAGTTAATTCGTTTGGTGTATGATTGCCGTAGTGTAATGGAATATGTAGTTATAATTAAAGGTAGACGTCCGTTTAGTGGATTTATCAGTTTGATTAATGAATATATGTTTGTTATAGAGTGTGTTGTGGATATCCTTTAGTGAAAACTTGTAGGATTTGAAAATGAGAAGAGATGTACGGCAATTATCCATTACATAATTTACAGAATGTAATTAATGTGTGGTTAACTTACTAAGATCAAGATGTTAGGTGTATAATTGGTGACTGAATCCAGTCTGTGAAAAGTTTAAAGAAATGCATCTAACACCAATAAACTTGTTATTAGTGATACTGTTATTGCTAAATGAGTCAGAGCGCAAAGCATCATGTTTCATAGCAGCTATGTTCTGTTGAAATGGATCATCAAAATGATGCCTATGGATGGTAGAAAAACAGATATTTTTTTCTATTGAAAGATTCTTTTGAGCCAAGGGTCTAAACAACGTCTCTATCCCACTAAAGGCAGGGTTAAGGTCTGTGTACATCCTACCCTCCTCAGACTCCACTTGTGAGATTACAGTGTATATTGTTGTACCTTTCAAAGATTTTGCAGTTAATTCGGAATGATTCAGATTGTCCTTGGTTGTGTTTCATTACTGAATTATGTCTTACTGAAATGTTTATTCTGTATTATCTGGTGGAAGTGTGAGATCCCTTCTCATAGAAGTGGACTTGATTTCTAAACCATCAATTTCTAGGTCAATTGAATTAGTCCAACATCAAAATCATAACAATCTGACACTGGATATGCACCCGGATAACTATCTTTTAGACCGAAGGACAGTGCATTTTCACATGCATCAAGCGTCACTATTTTCATTATCTTTCCCTCCATCAATCTTCAGGATATTTCACCCCCACCAAATAATGAATTTTTAGGCTAATCCTTCGGATTCAACAAGCCTCCCTCTACAATTAGTGGGAGCAGGAATATCAGAATTTAAATATACAAACAAACACGTCCAGTAAAGAAAAGAAGTAAAGGAACAAGTAAGAGTTTGTAGGGAATAATAGCCGCAGGAGATGAGTGATTTTGTTAAAGAGTGTGTGATTATGGAGTCAATTCACACTCTTTGTGACCTAATCATTATCCCCTACAATTTTTTAATTGTTCCATTCTTTTTTCTTTGCCAGACTTGTTTGTTTATATAAATTTTGATGTTCCCTCTCATAGAAAAAGGCTTATTGAATCCTAGGGGATATGCTGAATTATTTCATTATCCGGTGGGGCAAAATGTTCTTAAGGAAATTTGTTTTCATACGCCTCAAGCATTGTACCATCTTCTTGATCTTCCTTGCCAACATAATGAACTTTTATATTCATTCAAACTACTCATCCTACTGCCGACACTTGTAAAATACATCTATGAAATGTAAAGGAGATGTGTATGTAATTTCCAACTGAAATGTAAAGGAGAACTCTTATTGGCCCACTAAATAAATCACTTGGAGCTCTTCTTCTTTTCTATTTTCCCTCATCTCATTTCATTCTTTTCGAATTGCTTTGAGTTATAATCGGAACTAAGAATTATTTGCAGCTATAGTCCATAATCTGCATGGACCTATGGCTGGTGAATGTCCTCTTACTTATTTAAAGAACTTTTCACCTTATGTCCAACTTAAGATAAATCGCTTGTGTTTAAGAACTTCTACCTAGTATAATGATGGGGCACTTGGTTTATACACTACTATTGACTACATCTGTTAATATAATTACTATATGTCCTTTACTTAGAAATTGTTAATGTCCCCGTTGAACAGCATTTCTCTTTGCCTATCAATTAAAAGCAGAAAGTGAAGTAAACAGAAGCTCACCAAACACTCCCGCCAGAAAAATAAACAGGAAATGCTGGCAATTGTTCAGATGAGGAGTTGTAGCAGGGAAAGTATTGTGAGTAGTCTCAGTGAGTCTAGAGGAATGAAGTGATCACAACTCTAATATTCCTTTTCCTTAGGTTGGTTTTGCATTCTCGTAAGTCATCGCAGCAGTTGCATAAATCCTGGTTTTTCATTATCTCGAGTGCTCGCAGCAGTTGCATGATTCTTTGCATTCTTTGTCGAAGTTAGCATGATGGTGCAATAAGATAGAGTTTGTTTAAATAGTTGTGCTTTTTTAAACATAGGGATTGGACGGTTATCAAAAAAAAAAAACATAGGGATTGGCAATTAGAATGCTGTCACCAGAATATGGCAGATAAGAAAAAGGAAGTACCAGTGATGCAGGTGCAGAGAGAGTTTCTGTAGCATGTGAAGAGTCACGATGTTTCTTTTGGTCTTATACCTCTTATCAAGAAAGATATTACTGGAGGTTAAGATTTACCCTATAAAAAGAGGATGGAGGTTGAGATTTACCCCCAAGAATAATTATCTATATGGTAGGATTAATGCTTTGAACTTTTGTCTGTTGTTGAGGATCACTATAAGCAGGGATAACTTCTGTAATATGATGCTAAGGGGACCCTTATTATGAAAGCCAAAGGGTTCATTTTTTATTCACAGTCTGTACTTTACTATCATAATGAGTTTCAATTTAACTATCTGTAAAACATGAATATCATTACAAACAGAAGTACAATCACATTCTGTCAACTGGATGATAAAAATAATAATGTGGAAGTC